CCATGTGAAATTGCTATTGTTCAATTCTTGATCTATAACCATTTCATATACTTCAACTTACATGAAGAAAAGAGATTGACTTGACCAGTGATTTTACTGTAGAACCATAGAAAAGTTCTGATTTGGTTTAAATAAATACTTTAAATATCTATGCTGGGTCAGGTCCTGAACTGGTTCTGCATGTATAACAAAGAGCAAAATAGTTTCAATAACTGATCTCATAGAGCTTAGTGTCTGCTGGAGCACAGCTACAAAGATCTTTTGGCAAACCAGATTTAAGTCTGATTATTTAAATGCTCCTAACACATCATATAAATTACATCTTCACAGGCGAAAGAGAAATCTACCTAGCTGGGGAAGAGTTATTAAAATTTGTTTAGTTTATAATGAAAAATTAATTAATACCCTTCTGAAAATACAGTGGAAAAGAATCTGAAAATGGCAAACAACACCCCTGATGAATTGATTCAAAGCCTGAGACAATGAGACATCTTTATAATTCAGCTGTTTGAGAGAATGAAGGTTGGGGGTTATTTTCATTTTACATCTTATAACCTGGTTGGTCAGGCAAATATGAGAAAATTATTATATTGTAAAACATGTGGCATATGCAACAGAAAGTATTTTGAAGTTTACTGAAGTTTGAATTGCTTTTAAAACATACCAAACTTAAGCAGAAAATGTAGCTTTCATATTGACAGATCCAACTTAATGCAATGAGATTAACTAGTCTTTTGTTGATAGCATCTTTTGAAACTTAACTTATGGTATAGAAATAATCTTTTTTACTAAGGCTTGGTCTTTATACTTTACATTTTTCAGACTGGTTGGTAATGATATGGAAAATGGATAAGTTACAGATGTTGTAGGTTGAATCACATGATATTGAAGGTCTTTTAATGTATAAAACTGACAATTACATAAGAACTAATGTGAAAATTTATTAGTTATTCACAGAAAGGTGATGGTATAAATTACATGAAATTTTTTTGGCCAATAAAGAAATCTCATTTATGATATAGCTCTTAAATATATGATGAGTATATAAGTTGTTCCTAATATTTCTTAATACGCTGACTGAGTGGGGTTCCAGTCGAGATGGCAACATAGGTAAATGAGGTACTCAAATCGACACACAACCACATCAGAATTATAACTAAACTACAGAACATAACAACCATCCTTCAGGACTGCCTGAAATCTAGCTGAAGAGAAGTTTTACAAAAAAAGATATAAAGAAAAAGCCACCTTGAGACTGGTAGGAGAGGTAGAGCTATGGAATGGTCTGGTCCCACACCCACATGTGGTGGACAAACATTGGGAGAGATATCGCTCACACAGAGGTCCTTCCTGAGGAGCAAGGAGTTTCAGCCCCCATGAGAACCCCCAGCCTAGGGTTCCAGAGCTGGAAAGAGAATTCCCCATAACTTATGGCTGTAAAAACCAGCTTGGATTGTTGCTGAGTAAGACGGGGGGCTAGTGGAGTCCCAGGCATTTCTCCTAAAGAGCTCATACATGGACTTCCTCAGACTTACTTGCTCTGAGTTCCAGTGCTAGATCACCAGGGACATACACGGGGGAACCGAGTTCTCTGGCATTCAGGTAAGAGCTGCAGAGGCAGCTTTCTTCCCAACAGAAGTGCTGGAAGAGGCCATTATTCCTTTCTGGGCTCTGTTCCCATAGAGCCTTCTGGAAGATGCCATATTTGAATATCTATCAACCTGGCTAACATTGTTTATCCTGCTCTGGTAATTCCCTGAGACCCTGCCCCACCCAACTTGCAGGCCTAACTCAAGCTATTTCCAGTGGCTTTTCCACATAATTGGCCTATCTTGGCTCATGTCTCAGGCTTTCCTAAAATCTCTCAAACAAGCAGCATCTGGCCTCAATGTGCCCCTCACCTCTCGCTAAGTGGCTCCAGGCCTAGCTCTAGCAGCAGCCAGACTTAGTTCATAGCTTGGCCTATCCCTTACAACTCCAAGGCCAGCACAAGTAGCAATCATCTTCAGATTGCTTTGTAGCACATGCAGGGTGGCCCCGGGCAGAGCACAGGTGGTGGGTGACCTTGATCTACACCTCCTGGGAAGCCCAAAGCCAGTGTACCTGGTGGATAGCTTCAAACAACATCGAAGCACCAGCCAACTACCTCTACAAGGGATACACTCAGAGGGCACAAGAGCCCTGCTGAAGTAAGTCCTGTTTCATGAAGTGGGCCACTGCACAGCTTATCTTCCACAATGGTTGCTGGTCACTGTCTGTCCTTGCAGCTAATTGGCCTGGGGATAAATCCCTTCCATAAATGTGCCAACATCAATCAAGCTCAACTACAACAGAAGAACATACACAGCCCACGTTGCGGGGCGGGGCAGGGGGGCTGCGGTACACCTGGAGTGCCAGCTTGGGTGATCAGGGAGGCTGGGCCACTGGACCCAACAGGACACCTACTATATTAGCCACTCTACTGAGTTCAGGAGGTAGACCAGCTCTACCTAATTCATAGAAACAAATACAGGGAGGCTGCCCAAATGAGGAGACAAAGAAACATGGCCCAAATAAAAGAACAAAACTCCAGAAAAAGAACTCAACAAAATGGAGACAAGCAATCTACTGGATGCAGAGTTCAAAACACTGGTTACAAGGATACTCAAGGAACTTAATGAGGACTTCAACAGCATAAAAAAGGACATGGAAATCATACAAAAGAACCAGTGAGAAATGAAGAATATACTAACTGAAATGAAGAATAACATATAGGGAATAAACAGTAGACTAATAGTTTACAGAGAATCAAATCAGCAATTTGAAATATAAGGATGCAAAAAACAACACCCAATCAGAATGGCAAAAAGAAAAAGTAATCCAAAAATAAAGGTAAGATAAGAAACTTCTGGGGCAACCTCATGTGTACCAACATTCATATTGTTGGGGTGCCAGAAGATAAAGAGAAAGCAAGGAATGGAAACCTATTTGAAAAAATAATGACAGAAAACTTTCCTAACCCAGTGAAGGAAATAAACATACAAGTCCAGGAAGCACAGAGAGTCCCAAACTAGATGACCCCAAAGAGACCCACACCAAGACACATCATAATTAAAATGCCAAAAGTTAAAGACAGAGAGAATCTTAAAAGCAGCAAGAGAAAAGCACTAAGTTATCTTTAAGGAAGCTACTGTAAGACTGTCAGGTGATTTCTCAACAGTAACTTTGCAGGCCAGAAGGGACTGGCAAGAAATATTGAAAATATGAAAAGCAAGGACCTACAACCAAGATTAGTCTACCCAGCAAAGCTGTCATTCAGAATCAAAGGACAGATAAAGAACTTCTCAGACAAGAAAAAGCTACAGAAATTCATCACCACCAAACCAATATTACAAAATTGTTAAAGGGTTGTGTTTAAGAAGAACAAAAATAAATAATATAAATAATAAAATGGCAATGTATGTATATGCATATCTATCAATAATTATTTTAAATGCAAATGGATTAAATGCTCCCATCAAAAGACATATGAAAGCCAGATGGATATCAAAATGAGACCCTTACATATGTTGTCTACAAGAGACACATTTCAGATTGAAAGACACACATAGACTGAAGGTAAAAGGATGGAAAAAGATATTTCATAAAAATGGAAACAAACAAAAGCTGGGATAGCAATACTTATATTAGACAAAATAGACTTTAAAACAAAGCTGTATAACAAGAGACAAAGAAAGACCCAGCAATTCCACTTCTGGGTATTTATCCAAAGAAATCCAAAACACCAAATCAAAAAGACATATAGCCATAGGTTCATTGCAGCATTATTTATAATAGCCAAGATTTGGAAGCAACCTAAGTGTGCATCATAAGATGAATGAATAAAGAAGTGATGCATATATACAATGGAATATGACTCAGCCATAAAAAGAAATGAAATCTTGCCCTCTGCAACAACATGGATGGACCTAGAGGGTATTGTGCTAAGTGAAATAAATCACACAGAGGAAGACAAATGCCATGTGATTTTACTTATATGTATAATCTAAAAAACAAAATAAACAAGCAAGCAGAAGAGAAACAGACTGATAGATACAGAGAACATTTTTGACAGTTGCCAGATGGGTAGGAGGTTAGGGAGATGAGCGAAAAGGTAAGGAATTAAGAAGTGCATATTAGTAGTAACAGAATAGTCATGGGAATGTAAAATGCAGCACAGGGAATATAGTCAATAATATACTGATGACTATGTATGGCATCAGATGGGTACTAGATTTATTGGGGTTATCACTTAGTAAGTTATACATGGTAGAACAGTAGGTTTACACTTGTGAATAAGTAAAATGGAGTTTATTCTTATACTATTTATTAATAATAGTATTATTTTCCATACAAACAACTGTAAACCTACTTTTGCCTGTAGTTCTGAGTCTTTTCTATCAGATAGTTACTCAGTTTCAGAAGAGTGAAATTTATTGTCTTTTGCAGATCAAATCCAAATTTAAATTTAAATTTCCCATTCAACTTTAAAGTTGTTTGCACATTGTGATATAGCATTGCAAACTGAGCTCATTCAGAAGATTTTTTAAATTTAAATATTTTTTTTATGTTTTAATTACAGTTGACATACAATATTGTATTAGCTTCAGGTGTACAACCCAGTAATTAGACATTATACCATGTAGGGCAAAAGTAAGTTTACAATTGTGAGGACACAAAACGCAGAGTTTATTCTTGTATTACTATTTCTTTATTATTATATTATTCTCCCTATAAGCTGTTTGCTAGTCCACTGGGTTTTCTTTTTTAACTTTGAAGCTCCACTCTTTAGTGGCTACATGTGATGCTTTATATGACAAATAAGCTTTGTTTTACTCACAGGTTCCTCACTTCTCAAGGTAATAAACTGAGCACAACATTAATTATAAAACCCAAATCCTTCAGACAAAAGATCATTGAGAGATAAATGGACCTCTGCTTGCCCTAGTTCCTAGTCAGTCTGAACTTTCTTGTCCCATCAGGTGGTGCAATGCTGAGGGTCGGTGTAACACTACCACAAGATCTACCAGACGCTTTGCGTACTTGGACTAGAGGAGAGGATGGGAGTTAAGGACAGAAATGGTAAGTGTGGAGTCCGACATATCAAAGGTCTGTGGAGTTTGGATGAAAGTGATGAGCTGAAGAAGGACAGATGGTGGGTCAGGAAAACGGTGTTCATAGTCACAAAACTTTTCCAGAAGGATGGATGATACTACTGTCCAGTATTTTATGGACCTGATCAGTTTCTTAATCATGTCCTATAGACTAAGTTCAGACTACAGAAAAGGGTGGGAGAGGTTTTTTATAAAATAAATGACAGGAAAATTAGGCTCACTTCACCAAAATTCAGCTTACAGTTGAGTGAATGAATATGGGGGAACATATTTGCTCCATAAAGTAAGAGCACATCGTGCCCTGGACTCCAGCTGAAGTCATATTTTTATCCAGAGGTGCTAGGTTATGGAAATTCAAGGTAGGACAGATTTTCACCCACTTGTAACTTTTTTTAGGATCCACTTTTATTTATTATTGACTTTGGCATCGAGGTCTCTATTCTTGGCTCTCTCCCCAAATGCATTCTCCCATTCCTTCCTTGCTAACAGAACCTCTGTTTTGCTCACCCTCATATAAGCAGTCAGGTTCTTCAGGAGAGGCTGGAATCTCCACCAGCCCCACAAGGGTGAAGCTGAGTGATCTCAATGAATTGGTGTTCTCAACCCCTTGACCCTGAAGTGCTCACAGACAGGGAGTCCTGACGGGATGTCTGCTGATGAGTCTCTGAGAACAGACTTAGGTGCTTTTGATCTCTGACCTAGGGACTCAATTGCAAACATGAGCTTCCCAGCCCAAGAACCTGAACCACACACTGAGGATGCAGAGGGATCGAAGACTCCTGGGTCCTTGATGATGGTGTTGAAACCCAGACTTTCAATTATGTAAAAAGAGAAATGTCCTTATAGTTAGAATAGTTTACATTGGGCTTTCTGTTAGTTTCAGCTGCCAGTATTCTTCTGCTACTGTTGGTGTTTAGGCCAGATCCTCTCAGTAAATAGACCCCTCAATCTATTTGATATGTTCATTTGTGGCAGAAAAAATAGTTAAATGTCTTTTGTAACCTAATCAGATTTTTCAGCGATTTAGTTAACAACTGCAGAAAACATAATATTCTGATTACTTTCTGGTCTTTCCTAACTGAAATGGACCAATGATATTTAATGTCTCTCCTTTACCCACATCTCCACTCCAGATCCCTGAAACTTCGTGCTGCCCTCTCATTGACAAAACTCTTCTTTTCAAGCTCAACATTTTATTTGCATTCAAACAAAATGATACCTTTTACCACTGTTAGGAAAAGAGATATGTAAAGCACAGACATTCTTCGAGTTAAACTTTAAAAACAAATGGCAAAAGAGGGCAGAGGAAACTATCATTTATTACATATAAGCAACAGGCATTTTTATTATATGAAGAGTTAATACAAATTAGTGAGGATAAGGAAAGCTACCCAAGAAACAAATAAGCAAAGGGTATGCACAGCAATTTTCAAAAAATAAAATATAAAAGCCCAATAAACATATTTAATGCTTTAAACCTCATTATCAATAGATGGCATATGAATTGAAGAGTGATACGATTTTTACACATCAGACTGTCAAAGTCTAAAAAAGATGGTGATCCCTAGTGTTGGCCAGAGTGCGTGGCATTTATCAAAGCCTCAAACATGTTTATAGCCTTTGAAGGAAGAACACATCCAGAATTTTATCCTAAGGAAATAATTAGAGAATCATGCAGAATTTGATTGCTAAGATGTTCTGTGTAGTATTTTGTGTAACATTTTAAAAAATGAAATGACTAATTGTATAACATTAGAGTTAAATAAACTGTGGTATATCCCTGAATGAAAGGGAATACTAAACAAAAATCATTCTAATTTCAGTCTCACCTTCACCCCACTTCCAGAGATAGCCAGTACCATAGTAATCTGAGTGGCTGGGGCCTCTGTACTGAAAATATGGTTCTTCGTCTTTCCTTTCTAAGTCAGTTACCAGTCACTCTTACTTTGCAGCTTGTTGAATTCAGTTGCAGGCAACTCTATTTCCATTTTTTTTCCTTATGGGCCTTCAGAAAATTCCTTTCTGTCATTCAGTGGTGTTTGGGGAAGAAGCAGAGTTGAATGTGTCTTTTCAATCCATTATATTTCACTAGAAATTCATATCCTAAGATTTTTGAAAAGTTGATTGGCAGAGTCTGCTTGCAAGTTTTCATCTAGAGGGATTTTTTTTTGTCCATTTGTGCATTTAGTCAGAGCAGATGTTCTAGAGACTTCAGCGTGCCAAGGTGCATGGTGTGACATGATGGGAAAGAGGAAAGGCAGACTCCCTTCCCACTGGACTTAGGCATTTTTACAGCAATTTAGCAGGCATGTCTTTTGGGTTTTGTGCATAGCTTCTCTGTTTATAAAGGGTTTTCAGATGAGTCTCTTGGAAGCTGGAGTATGAGAGAAAATCCAGGTGGTACAGACCATGATTCTGGTTCATTCTCTCTGGATTTTTCTCCCCTTAGGGTTCTCCAGAGCCTGATTTCCCAGACACATCTTGTCATGTCTGAATACTAAGAGGGGACATACTATAGGCTGAAGCTTGGATTCCTACTACATTGATTTATTTAGAAGACTTTGGGATTGTGTTGCTAACGTCTTCATTTTACGGGAAAGTCTCTGAGGTCCAGGAAGTTTAAATAACTTTATTAAGGTCACAGGCTAAGTAAGTGGTAGAATCTCATGACTGGAGCTGTAACCAAGGAAGTATAACACAAACTTGCTATTCCTTAAGAAAATAATATTAAGAAAACAAGGAAAGTTATCTCACTGCATAAGATAGGAAAGGAAGGGGAAGTTTGCCTAGTTGAATCTAACTCTATAAAGATAACACCATGAAATATGATCTTCACACCTTATCTACTTCCTTTTATCCAGCAACAAAATCTTAAGACAAAATAGCTCACATTTGCCAGAAGCTAGAAATTTTAATCCACAATAATGCTAGAGAAATGGAGGTTTTTAAAGCACACTGCTTCAGGATATTTTTGGTTCCCCAAATCCAGTCCCCAGCTGAGTGAGTAAGGTCTTCCCATCTCCTCATTTTTCCCAATGGTCATTCATTGTTATCCAATTATAGTAGCTCTTCTTTGCATTTCTCTGTTAATTTCTCCTTTTCCTACAATAACTCTGATCTTTACTTTGCTTACTCAAATTCAGCTCTGCTTATTCTCCTCTTACGTGGTCTGGAGGAGCATGGAACTCAGCAGTCGGTTAAGAGGTGGACATTTGATCTCAGCTTTTAAAATCAGAGTATTGCTTAGCATTTCCAGTAATGAAAGGAGAACCAAGAAATGAGGAGATAGGAATATCATGCTGTTGACTTTATTTGTGCTCTTGAACACACTGCACCTACATTTAGAATACTCAGTATTTTGCAAGTAACAAAAACTAATAACTTTACCTTCTTCTTTTTTTCTTAACCCAGCTTCAGTGAGGAAGAATGGTTCTTTCACTTGCAAAAAAAGAAATTCTAACTCTTCAAGTATTGGAACAAACACATGACTATACACCCTTTTCTTATGGACAAATATTAATTCTTAAGGACAATGTAATCTGTTTGCAAATTAAGAAACAGTATATTTTCCTGCATGGGGATAGAGCTTTACATTTTGAGACTGAGAATGCCCACCCTCACTTTGTTCATTTTCCAGGTCAATTGCCCACAATGGTGTACAAAATGTGGCCTGGCAGTACAGTTTGCAAATGACAGGACCGTCTGCCCCACCAATGACCACTTCATGACATTTCAAAGTTATGATGCCAAGTGTTGAAATGACAATCTTTTTATAGAATGTCTGGTCACAGTCTAAACCTGTTTTCACGCTACTTTCTTCAAGTAAAAAGACAACACTAGCAGAGAATGCTTATTACGTCCGGGGCCCAATAAGGTGCCCTTCGTCCAGTCCTGGGGTAGGAAACAGTTACATTTTCAGTACATCAGTAGCCAAACTTTTTTTTTAATCTAGAATTTTGAAATCATCATACCCTACTATACCTATCCCAAGTTGTTTAAAGAACTGACCAAAGTGCTCTGGCTGGTAGCTCAGTTGCTTAGAGCATCATCCCCATATGCTGAGGTTGTGGGTTCAATCCCCTGTCAAAGCTCATACAAGAATCAACCAATGAATGATTCAATAAGTGGAACAACAAATTGATGCTTTTTTTTCTCTCTCAATTCAATGAGGAAAAGAAATGGATCAAAATGACAAAAGAAGTTCCACCACCCTTTGTGAGAAGTTTCAGAGTCCAGACCAGAGGGGCTGTTCAATCATAGGATGAAGAGAGGTCTCTAAATTTCATAGACCCTTTCCCCTAACTGTACACTCAGGAAATACTGAAAGATTTATCAGAATCAAGTATATGCTATTTTATTTTTGAAGCACTAGCACATATTAAATAATCCACACCTGGAGAAGCCTTACAAGAACTATATTCCAAAGTGTGCATTGTCTCATTAATGGAGACCTCCTCGTGTTTGGATTAAAAACAGGCAATTCATTCATGGTTGTCCTGGCAACCAGGCATGGAGTGAGGACAAGTCTCAAGTGTGTCTTCAGAACCTCTGTAGTGACAGGCCACACATGACGCAAAAGTGAACCTTTAGGAGCTTAGTTCCCTCCATGTAGTCACAGTTTTATTTTCTAAAATTATCCTCATCCAAGCACACTTATAGAAATGTAGTTAAAGGAAATTAATTCAGTAAGCCTTTTCTTCCCCAGGTAGAACTGAGGCAAAGGACTGGTGTTTATTTTCTCCTATGGACGTTTAAAGGTATAGATTTGGGTGCACAATTGATGCACCCAATGCATCATAAGGCAATGGTTCTCTGAGTGGTATTCTGAGATGAGCAGCATCAGCATCTCCTAGGAGCTGGTGAGAAATGCAGGTTGCTGGGCCCCACACTAGACCTCTGGAGTCTGAGTCTGTGGGGGCAGAGCCAGCAGTTGGTGTTGGAACCAGCTCCAGGGGACTCTGATTCGGCCAGAGTCTGAGGTCCATGGACCTAAGAGTCTTCAGTGGACTGTCCTTGGGGAGGAGCAGGCCATTAGCTCCTGCATTTTAAAACAGGTTCTTTGGGAGACAATGGTCTGGGCTGTTCAGGTCAGTTCAGGTAGATCTGCAGAAGCCCTGCCTACAGGCAGGTCCCTCAATATCTTTGATTCTCAGGTGATGTCAGCAAGTTCCAGGTTGCCTGGAATGAATAGGAGCTTCATAATCAGAGCTTCTGGAGTTCAAGTGAATCAATATTCTTTTAAAAATTTTCTAGAAAAAAAAGAAAAATCCAGAAATCTATGAAGTTCAACAGAAACTGAGTCCAGCTATTCTCGTTAGTGTATGCCCTAGGTACTGGACACATTGTGGGAGTTATTACACTCCTTCCAGCTCAGAATGATTCCTCGTGCTGTGGGAAACCCTCAGCAAGGTGGCTGCATTGGGCAGAGCCGGCCCTGGCTTTCAGCAGCGCCTGTGAGATCAGAGCGCTCAGATGTGTGGAGAACTCGCAGTGGGGCTCTGTGTGGTCTTAACACCAGTGCCATTTCCAAAACAGTAAGCTGCTATTTTGTTGTGTCCTATTTGTGTGGCATGGAAGTAGGACATGAACAGATAGTGTCTCCGCGCCTTGTTTCTGTGATCCTTGGTCCGCCTAAACCCAACACCCCTGGCAACAGAAGGTTGGGGAGTGCTGTTGTTAAAATGCTGCTTCTAGGCCCTGCCCTGAAACCATGAGTCAGAAACTCCAGGGCCGAGTCCTGGGCTCTTTAACAAGCATCCCACATTTCTCTTAGATGCGGTTGTATTTGAGGACCACCCATCTTTGCCATCTGACTTGGCTACCCTTTTAGGTTTTCATTAGAATATACAATCTCCTTTCACCAATTGGAATTTGAGCCTATAGAAAAGTACAACCTTGGCAATGAGACTAACCCGGTTTCAGAGGTAGCAGTGATCAAAGGTTAAGACTTCTGGCAAGTTGATGAACTTGCTTGAACCTTAATTTTCCCATCTGCAAAATGTGATGACTATAATTTCCAGACTACAGGAGCCTTGAGAAGGGGAAATGAGAAGCTGTGAGCACAATTATTTGTATATTTATATTTGTATATGCATATATATAATACAGATGTGTTATTTATATTTTAACAATACTTTCTAGGGAATTTATCTGTTTTCTAGCCTTAGAAGATTTTTTCCCAATCTTCTTCCAAAATACTACTTTCCAAATGAATGAAGGGAAGAAAAGGAAAGTTATAATATCTGAGATAACAATCAGAACCTCCCTGGGCAGCAGATATTATATCATCTAAAATTTACAGATGAGGCTGCTGAAAACCAGAGAAGTAGGAGAAACAAATGCCTAAGCCTTCAAGCCTGAGGCTGTCCCTAACTCTTCAAGGGGCTACCCTGGCTCTGAGTAAGTCCCCACTGCCATATAACCTGTAGCAATTTGAAATTACTGGAGATGTGGGGCTCTATTCATACACCTGTAAGGTTTCACCTGTGAGGTTTAAGCAGATGTGAACCCAAAGTTAAAAGGCCACTGCATTTCAGGGTGCCTGTCCCCAGCCTCCCCAATCCTTAGGGTGTTCATGCTACAAGGGATGACTCAGTGCTTTCACCTCTAGTCAAGTAAACCATGTCCCAGTTACTGTACTCACAGAGTGTTGTCTGAAAAAAGGAGAGACCTAAAAAAACCTGTCTGCCCTTTTTGGCGACACAAATCCTCATTCAACTTTTAATGGCCTTAGTCATTCTATAGGAGCTATGGTGACTTGAACCTTGTTTTGAATGTCAAACTTGATTCCAGTCCTAGATATGGCACCAGGACAAGCCTATTAAAATTTGACTCTGTGTGTTGCAAGAAGTGGACTTGGTATTTTGGGGCCTGAGAGAGTGGAAGATTAAATCAAATCCCCAGGTCACTGATTACGACACATGCTCTGAATATGGGAAACAGCCCTGGGAAAGATCTCAGTCCTTGTCTGTAATGTCCCAAGTCTGTTTAAGGCAGAATGCACCAACCACTTTCCATGCAAACTTCTGCAAAGACACCGTTCCCAGTCTGTGGAGAGCCTAGGAATTGAAAATGAACATACTCAGTGCAAACTAGGATTGCAGATCCTTTTTGACTGGTCAGAGAAGCCAGGGAAAATAAACAATCCTGGATAATCTAATATTGCAACAAAATTAGCTGTATCTTTTCCTTTTGTACAACATCAAAGCACAGAAGACAAGCTTCTCTTTTTCCTGTGGAAAAGTCAAATAATTTAACAATTCCCAAAGATATCAGTTTCTTTCTGCACCAAGGCTTTCCATAAATTTGGCTGGTCTTTTCAAAGCATGCATACAAAGTGATAGTATTTCATATGCAGGTGTGGCCATCATTATACCAGGGTGTGTACATAATCACCCTAAAGGTAACAATTTCCATGGAATAAATAGACTAATAGGAATGAAAGAAGACAAGAAGACGCCCTAGTAATAGAATTTTTATTGGCTCTTTCTTGCACTCACTTCCTTGATAGAAAAATGTCTGTCTAATCTCAGAGCAGATTTAGCTCTGTGGTCTTGTTTGTAATCCTAGACACCCCTCCCCGCCACAGCCAGCCTGGTCAGATCCAGCCAATTTAGGAAAAGGGCTTGTTTTAGGAAAAGAGATTTCTTTCTGGCTGCCTTCTCAGAGCCATGGGAGCCAGGAGATTCCTACCGCCATGGCCCATCCATTTGGAGGGAAATCCTTGACAAACCATTACCAAACAGTGAAGGAGCTTCCCAATGACTTAGGAGGCTTTCCCGAGTCTCCAAAACCCGCCCGGAGTTTCAGAAAGGGTAAAGGCGGTGAAATGGCAGCTGAGAATTACTGAGCATGAGGTAAAGAATGAATTCTTGCCATGTTAACATCCATCATTAAAGGGATGATTTATGTTTTCCAGAAATGGCTGTTCGGAAAGATTTGATGTTCAGCAGTCTTCAGCCCCAGCTGACGCTCGTCTTGCATTATAAGGCATCACCTCAGAGACACAGCAGCTCCCGACTTAACAGAGAATAGTGTGTGTTTAAAAGGTTTTTTTGCGTATGTGTGTATTTAAAAAGTTGAAATAATAGCAAAGTCCTTGCTGGATTAAGGGTACCATATCAGAAGCCAGCTACTGGTGATAAACAGTAGGCTCAGGCTTGGTTTGCAAAGTGAGTTTTGCTGATTTTCCTTTAGGTTTCAGCTTGAATGTCCTCCCTCAGAGATGTATTTACTGCTCACCGAATTATAACTAGTCCTCTCTCGATTCAATATTTTTTCTCTATAGCAGATAAGAGCCTATTTTCTTTGTCTTTAAAATGATTTCTTGCTCTATAATGCAAACAAGACCTGTGAAAATAAGAACTGCAGACAGTCTTGTCCATAGTTTTATCCCTAAAACCTAGCAGATGCCTGCTACATGCATAGTAGGCAACACAAATAGTTGTTGAACTCATGGTCAAAATGAGGCTGACTGTGGGGAAGGACGTGAAAGCGTAACTTTATAATAGCGTGTCTTGAAAGGAAAGCTGAAAATGGGAAGATGTGAGATGAATTAATTTCTAAAGTAAAGATTCAATTGGCTCACTAATAGGGGATAAAACTTAATTATAACACATTTATTTAAATCTGACAATTTAGGATAAAGGCATATACTTGGGGGTAAATTCATTATATTTTCTCTTTGGGGTGGATGTACAGAGTTACAGAAAATTCATGGCAACATGTCTGCTCCCTTTGGCGCTGAACTCGAGCCAAATAGGACCTAGCATGTGCGGGCCACCCTGCCAGAGTGCCATCATGAGGCACGGCCACTTTGCATAATTGCCTCATCTAAGTGAGAGATGGAGTTTCTGTTAACGGTAAGGGTTTAGAACACAAGGAAACCATGTGTTATCTTTCAGGATCTCTCTCTCCTAGTATATAGGTGAAGCAAGGGCAAGCAAGCATAATCTGCTTGACCTGAGGCAATTTCAACGTGGGCCTGAGGGAAAACAATTATTCACAGAGCCCATAGCACACATCAGGCATCTTCCACCCTTACCATAATTCAGAATCTTCATGAAGATACATAGGTGCTGTCCCCATTTCTAGAGGGAGAGACTGAGTGTCAGTGCTATTGGCCCAAGGCCTGGGGGACGCTGAAGTGCAGACTCTCTGACCTCGCAACTTTGATGAGAGAGCAGGACAAAGGCATAGAGAGTGATCTCTCTCCTGGGTGTTAGGCAGAGCGAGCAGGGGATCCCTCCTGTTTGGTAGCCACGGACAAGAGCGCCTTCACAGAGTGCCTGGAGTGTCTGGTTTGGTTTTGAATTTTTGCAGTTGTACTAGGAGCCAGGTAGCCTGTGTTTTAATTCTAGTTCTACTGTTAACTAATGTGATCCTGAGAAGCAAATTTGAAATCGAACATTCAGAGTGTGCAGGAGGTTAGGGTGCTGAACTGGAAACCCTTTATTTTCCAATCCATAAAGTGGATGGACACCCCGTTTCTGGTGCTGTGATGAGGCTCAAGTGGAAACAGCGGGAGCAAAGTGCTTTGAAGAGCATTGCATTTTTTCCAATGGAAGATTGTTTTTTCTTCCATGTACAAAATTTTCCAAGTTAACTGAGGCACAAATAATCCAGTTTTCATCCATTATTCTCGCAGGAGATCAAAGGTTGACTTCTGCAGTTTTAAATTTAAAAAAGCCGCTTTCTCATGTAGTGCCCTTTTACTTACACTTTCTGATTGTCTAATGAATACATGTCAGCAATTTCTTTGCATTAGAGCTGTTGCATTTTTTCCCTTCTGGTGGCCTCTTAGAGCTAATTGTGTTTAAGGGGGGAAATCAGATGTTTAGAAAGCTCATTGGCCCGGACTCATTAATGAGCCCTTCTTATTCCATCGTATCCCATAGAAGAGTAGGCATGTCATTTCTGCTCCCCACCCCTCACTTTTAAAAAACTTTGACAAAGACCGAGCTGTAGGTCCACACTGTAGCTCACCACAAGCCTGCATCAATTTAACTAATGGTGTGCACTTTGTTTTCAGATTCTCTTAATACTTTAAGCACTTAACTGGAGTTTCCATGCCTTCCACGCTCTAACCTGTGGTTTCGGGCAGAAGTAGCCCCCTGACATTTAGTGCCTTGTCTCTGAGTTGATAAGGCTGCCTGGAGCCTCTCAGCTCCTTTAAGTGCTAAATGTCAAGCTGGAATTGGGTGCCTCCTGCTGAACAATGTGGGTTGTTTTAAAATGATCACTTAATACAAAGAGGTTTCCAAGCGCACTAATGCTACGGGTATTTAAACAGGGGAATGGGGTGTCTTTAAAATGCCTTTTTAGTTGGCAACTTAATAATCTCCCTCTTGTTCAAATATTATTTACACCACAGTACATCTGATACTCTCCGAAAGTTAAACAAGCCATTCAGAAAAATGGGATTGAGTTGTGACAAGCTGAATAGAGGCCCTAAAAGGTCTGGAGCTCATGTTTTCATATATGGTAAGATACACCTCCACAACTCTTTTGTCGGTCCTGCTCAGGAGATGCTGAGGAATTTTACCTGTAGATTCACAGGAAAATGAGACACATCCAATTGCAACTCTTAGGCAAGACTTTGAATATAGAAAGAGCAATTTCTGCATAAAATTCATTTTTTTTCCCTCTCCTTAGTGCTCTGGAAATAAAGAGCTAGAGGAATGACCACCTATGTGTGAATGGTCCATTGGATGCCTCCCTTACCCCCAAAAATGGTGCTGAGAGAAGCCCAGGAACACTTCTGCTCCTGAAGTCTGGGGGGCATCTGAGGAAGAGCTGCGGCCCCCAGGGCAGTGATGTGCCTGAGCCTGGAGCCATCGCTGTGTGAAGTTCATGGACCGTCACTGCATCACCACCCTCTGGCTGTGGAGATCACCTCATACCACTACCTCTGGTGACAACTTTCCAAATACATGTTGTTTCCTATGTTTCCCCTGAAGTACATTCATTCTCAACCATGCAGTGACTCCTATTTTAATCCTTGACTTTAATGTCTCTAATAAGGTCAGGAAATCAGAATCTAAGACCTTTATTTATATAGTCTGGGAGATTCTTAAATTCTGAACCTAAATATCATCCCCCCCCCACCCACACACACACATACCTATTACACCTGAGAAGAGAAACAGTGTCATGATACGTATTCTCTAGCTAGGGCTTCCCAGCATGTAAAATATAAAGAAAAAAAAGTGAAAAAATCTCCTTGGAAAGTCTACTCATTCGATTTTCTTTAGGCAAAACCTCTGGTAACTGATGGTGTGAGGTAAGAGAGGTGGGGAAAGCGAAGGAGTTGTGAACCAGAAGATAGGCAGTCAGCCTCAGGCTCAGGCTTCCCAGGAGCTTGGCCCTGGCCTTAGGGGTGTTTGTTTTCTTCTCTGTCAAATGCGGGTGATAGGACCACACAAATCCCTCCATCCAGATGCCTGGTGTCACTGAGAACAAAAGCGAGCAGAGTAGTGCACTGTCCTTCAAGACTCAAAATGTACCACACAGGAAGGAAGGGAATCTCCCTTCCTGTGTGGATCGCTCCAACAGCCCTTGGCGACCAGCAGGTTGTATGGATGGAGAACTCTTAGGCACACCCAGGATGGCCTGTGAATGCTACTGTTACCAATAACAACTCTGTTGGAAAGACTCCCCTTCAGCATTGGAGTGTTTTCATACAGGGCCTCTTACCTGAGCTCCACAATCAGGGCCCTCTGGCCAAAGCAAAAAATCCACCTTCACTATTCTTATGTCCCAAGTGAGCCTGACATTCTCAGGGTTAAGGAATGTGAGCCTGGACACCTCCTGGCTCTCAGCCTGAGTCCCTTCCTTCACACCCATGACTGGATAGGGAATTGCAAGCGACTTGGAGCAAGCAGCCCCGCCTTTCCAGCTCCTCAGGCCAGGGCTCAGGGTCACTTTCCTGGCTCAGCAAGATAAAGGGACACACCCATGGTTCTGAGGAGCAGAGTGCTGGTTTTGTGGCCAAGATCAAGGCCTGGGACTCCTGGCTTCCAGGCTTCTGGTCTTTCTAGCTCAATATACAATGAGGTCTGTCCAGAAAAAAAGTCCAGCTGTTGTTAATATACCAAGAATGGTTTACATGACATTGATGTAACCTGGCAGCCAAGGAGAGTGGACTGCAATGCACATGTGTAAACAATGACGAATTCATTGTACTGGCCAGTGGGGGCAATAGATGCTGTAGTGAGCATGTGTACTGTGTGGCTGTCACATTCAAAATGACTGAGCAAGTAACAATGAATCTGCATCAAATTTTGTGTTAAGCTTGAACATTTTTCTGCAGAAACTGTTCAGATGATTCATAAGGCTTTTGGGGACAATGCAATGAGTGTAGCACAAATAAAAGTGTGGCACTAATGCTTCAAAGATGGTGGAGAATCTGTTGGAAATGATCCACATTCTGGAAGGCCCACAACAAACAGAACTGCTGAGAATGTTGAACGTGTACGGGCTGCAATCAACAAGGATTGGTGACGGACAGTGCGAGAACTAGAAGCTGATCTGGGGATTTCAAAAACTACTGTGTCCAATATTTTGACACAGGATCTGGGCATGAAGTGTGTCATGGCAAAATTTGCTCTGTGGCTTCTGCTACCAGAGCAAGAGGAACATTGTGCTGCAGTTGCTAATGGCTTGATTCAGACCACTACCAATGAACCAGATTTCCTCAAGAAGGTTATAGCTTTGGAGGGAACTGAGGTGTCATTGTCCTATGCACAATGTTTCTTGTATACTGTACCTTCTTCAATAAATGTCTCTATTTTTCATATTATGTGGCTTGATATTTCCTGGACAGACCTTGTATAGCATCAGTGCAGACACTGTAGTGAGAGTGTGAAGTCCCTGTGGCCTCAATTTCATCATCAGGAAGCTAGGACAAACACTGAATTAGTAATGGGAGGAAAAGCAGTGTTCTGTCAGGAAAGAGGGCAATTTTCTACTTGTTGGCACCTAGCAGAGGCCTCCAGCGATGGCTGGCAGCCTTTGAAAATCCTTCCCAGATGCTGGCATGAGAATTGCCAGGCCTATGTGGAAGTCATTTGATCCTGGGGAGCTGGGGAGCCATTATGAAAGTAGTTTCAACAGTCCTGATGGCACCAAATCTGTTTCCACTTTACAAACCAGGTAGGAGCAAACCCTACGGGCACTGCCTTCTCATGGTGGGCGCTGCTGCCATGGAATCTCAAGGGAATGGTGTGTGGTGTCAGCCTGCGGCCTTCCACCTTGAAGATGCAGGATGACAGTCCTTGTTTTGCATCTACACCTGGGCACACACCAGTGCCCACACCACCAGGCTAGATTCTGTTCTGCCACCCACATCTGTATCCCACCCGTTGATGCTGCCCAGGCAATATTGCTTCAATACACACTTCTTCAGTCTCAACGTATCAAAGAGCAGATACTCGAGTCCCTTGTGTTCAGTACCCCAGAGCCATGGCCTGCCTGGCCCAGCCCAGCCCCGTCCAGCTGTGTCCAGCCCAGCTCAGCCCAGCCCAGCAGCCTGGGACTGTAGATGGTGAGCATGCCAGGGTCACCATGGCGGGTCCAGGTCACCACTTGAGATTGAAAATCAACTCTGCTCAACTCGTTGAAGCACATTTCTGTGTAAAACATTAACATAGGATGTTTTTAATATTAAGATACAAGAAAAGATTCTATGAATATGGTTAAAAATTCCAGCATCATTGATTCATTGCCCTGATGATTCTCCTTGGCCCTGAAAGTTGTTTTGCCCTCACTTGGGCAAATAGCTCTAACTCTAAGTAGGGTAGGCGTCACTTTCCATTCATTCTATCTCCTTGGTGTCAGCCTAGGCACCAGAGAGGCACAATGTCTCTTTTATAATTTTCTCCAGTGGCCCAATGCTGCCAGCAAGAAAAATTATAGCCTCTCCCGTCACTAAATCCAAAAGTCTGGTCCAGTGACCTTTGCTTGGAGACTCAATTTCTCACCACTGCACCAAAAAATCCAGCAAAGGGCTTTGATCATGAAAAGCATTAAAAGAAAACAACACATAAAACAAACAAACAAGTCAGCCCAGCCCAGCCTGGGTAAAGGGCGTCTCCTTTCATGTGGTTTCCTTTGCGCCTGCATGCTGTGACAGGTTCAGGATGTCTCCGACTGCAGAACACTGAGATCTGATGTTTGAAGAGACCAGAGCTGACTGCCCAGCACAGAACTGTATTCAGAATCTGCTGCAGGGCTCCAGCCCTGGCCTGGCAGCCCGCCTCACCCCACCCGCTGCTCCAGCTGGCATCTCCCATCCCTTTGAGCTCATCATTGCAGGATGATTCCTGCGACACATTCAAGTGACTGTCCCAGAGTGGAGTGAAGGTGAGAGTGAGTGAGGTGTGTGCCAGCAGGACAAAGCGCTGTGAGTGCCCACGAATGTCCCCTGATACCTCTGCAGCTGCTGTGGTCTTGTGTGTCCCCTCTATGCTCTCTGCTCCAGACCCCTCTCCCCAAAGATGTTCACAGAAGAGACTTCAGCTGGGTTGATCAAGGGTTTCCAGGAGCCTGAGCCAATAGTGGCAAGGATGAGTGAGGACTCCACCAAATTTTACAGTCCTCAAACTGAGGAAGATTTTCAACTGGTGTCTCGTTCTATGACAAGTGTGTATGGTGGCATGTAAGCATAAAAACTTCCCTAAACAGGGGGCAGACACTACTGCTTAGATACACATATGAGAGCATGATGTCCCAAAGGGAAGATAAACACTTGTCCTTTCTTGCCACCCTGTGTTCGTTATTACCTTGAGGTACCTCAGACATGGCATGTGTGTTGGGTAAATGCCCACCGTGGGGTGGCAAAGCAGCTTTGTTGCCCACGAGACCAGGCACCCTTGTTTTCACAAACACGAACTTCCTAGAGACTCTCAAGTGTTGGAGGAAACTCTTCAGTGGAAGGAGGTCCTACCTGAGCAGGTATAGGCATGAGTCAATGGGACTAGGGTTATCGTTGATGTTTTCCCACCTGAGTCCCCAGACCCTTGAGTCCCAGGGAAGTGCTGGTTACAGAAATATCCTAAGCTAATGACCAAGCCAGTCAGCTGTGAGAAGTCATGATCCAACCTGGACCAATGGGTTAGACATACTCACTTAGGTCCATAGTATAACTTACAGTGAAAGAACATTAAAGTGGGACTCTGCTGTAGAGGCCACAAAGGCTCTTGACAACGGAATTAATGCCAAGCATCCCCACATCCCAGGAGACTGTAAAACTGCATGAGGGGAAAATGAACTCTAGCCTATGAAAGATGAGTAACTACAAGAGCTGGGAGAGGAAGATCTTTACAGAGAAAAGTACTGGTGTTTTCATGCAAACCCCCAACTGGGGGAAAAGAAGGAGGACTTCCCCTCAAATCAAGGGAAGTGATAGAGCCAGGCCTCAAGAGGACTCTGTGAAGATGGATGTGTGTCCTCTGGAGTTTGGGGGATGGGTATTTGATTCTTGTCATCAGTCAAGTGTGAGGGACCATAGCTTTCATGCCCAATGGCACCAAGAGTTGGTTTCACTGGGATGTGAGTTTACTTCCATCATCAACATGGCAAAATGCCTGTGTTTTTCCCATGGGTCTATTGGGTCATCTTGAAAGGAATCTGCCTTAGAAGGGGAATTCTAATGGAGAGGTAAAGGGACACAGGAGAGCAGTGGAAATCCAGAAATCCAGGGCCTGCCTGCAGCAAGGAATCCGAGGTGGGGACTCCCAGCCAGAGAAAGGTCATGCTGTATGGATCTGCTCACTGGGAACCCCAGGGCCAGAGGAGACCTGCAGGGGAGACTGCCCTAAGCCTAATCCTCTCACTCTTGGCCCAGCCAGGGAGAGGGTCAGAAACAGCACCTGCTGAGAGAGAGGATGAGAGGATGAATGAAAGAACAACAGCAGAGACTCAAAGAAACCAGCCATCCCCACCTCCTTCCCTGTAGGCTTTACGAGGGGAAACACTTTAACTTTCAGTAAAGTTTGGGGTTTTGATAACTACACAAGTCTGAACATTTTAGCTGCTGAAATGAGATTGTTCATGGGACTCAAGTGCTTGGAAAAGTTATGAGATATGCTTAAGATTTCATCTAGGGTCATTAAAGAACTAATCTTCAAAAAGACTTTAATGGAGACACTTGGGGAAAATTTTATTTTCTTTTTGCACCTAGTAAGTTCTGCTCATTCTATAAAGTACTTACACCCTGAAAAGAAATCCCCTCACCTAATCTTCACAGCGATCATACTGATCAATAAAAGAAAAAGAAAGTGGCCGAATTAGTTAGGGCTGCCATGGCAATGTGCCCCAGGATGGGGCCTTCAACAGTAGAAGTTTGTTGTCTCACACTGCTGGAGGTTGGAAGTCTGAGATCAAGGTGTTGGTAGGTTGGTTTCTTCTGAGGCCTCTGTCCTTGGCTTGCAGATGGCTGTCTTCTCCCTGTGTCTTCGAAGTTTTCTTTATGTGTATATCTGTGATTAAATTTCCTCTTCCTATAGGGACACCAATCACATTGAATTAGGGCCCACCTCATGACCTCATTTTAACCTGATTACCTCTTTGAAGACCCTATGTCCAAATGCAAATACTCTCTCCATCACTGCGTCCATTTCTTGATGGGAGAATTTTTTGATGATTTTACTAGCCCTTCAACTATAATTTTTTGAAAAGTTAAAAACACAATTCATAAAAATACAGAATGAGTACATTTAAAATTGTATTAATTCATTAATAAAGAAATCAGTAAGATGATAAGGTGAATTCCAAGAGTACTTTAAGGGTCAGGCCATTTATGTGTATTTTGAAAAAAAGTTAGGATAAGATTGCTAGGTTAGATATAAAACTGGTTAATGTCCTACAGGCAGGTAAAACTGTAATCTTTGGGATTATCTCATTCCTGCACAGAAGTCTACAAGTTAACATGCAACTTTACAGTGTCTGTGTTCTAATCAAATAATAAATAGCAAAGTCAAACACAGGTACATTTTCCTAGACAGTTACATGATCTACAGGAAGGCTTATAAAATGTGCTCCAGTATGAAATTGAAGAGACACATCACCTCCATTCATCTTATGTCCAAATTCTTGGTAATGTGTCTGGACATTCAACATGGATGGTTCCTTCCAACACTGGCTCCTCTCAGTCCTCTGTCTTCATCTCCTCTGATGACCTCGTTCCCATTTTACCCCTGTTTTACTTCCTAATCGTTCTTGTCTCCCAGACCATATCATAATCACTGTGGCCTCTCCATATTCCCAGTTGCAAGCACCCCATTTTCAAACCACTGTCTCCTATTTTTCC